GATGATGCTTGATGTCCTTATGCAGTGTCAGTTAGGCAACCAAAAGTAATCTAATCACCAGAAACTGCCTTTAGTGGCTATCTAGTAGACAGTCACAAGAGGTGGAGATAACCCTGAAATGTAATTAGTGTAGTTTCTCAATAACTGCAATAATTACCATTACAGGGTTAAACTAGCAGGGGCACTGCATCCAGACCACTTCAATGAGCTGAAGTGATCTTGGTGCCTATAGTGTCTCTTTCAGAGAGCTGAGAACCTGTGTTGGCTTTATCTTTAAGAAGTGTAGTTTATGGGTGTAGTTTTCCCTAAATATGTACTAGGAGGTCATATTCATAGTGAAAAAATATATATTTATGTCACTAACTTCCATTGTAGTTTAATTAATTAAGAATAATTTATTCTATTTCATTTCCTAATGTTGCAGATTTTAATATAACAACATAGAGCTGTTAAATCAAATTAGACATCTCAAGGCCTTGTGTTATTTTACAATTACTGTGCTGAATATTTAGAGGCTAATTAAACAATTAATTTGCTCAGTTCTCTCCTTCTTTCTTTTTTTCTTTCTTTCTTTCTTTCCCACAAAGACACACAGATCTTAAATCTGTTCCAATTCCTCCATTCACTGTCAGATAAACTCAAGTTGTATAGCTCTTATGCTCACTACCATATCACGGCAATGGCTTTTTTGCATTTTGCCATTGACTCTCCTCCATCACCCCACACCTAGCAATGACGGTTACTAAAAACTTGTTTGTAGCATTTTTTTAAGGCTAAATCATATACTTATCAATCAACTATAATACTGAACTTTGCTAGTCAGCTCACATTCACTTTTGCATGGCAAAAAAACTGATTCGTCCAAACAACAATGTTTTAGGATGACAGAATTTAGTCCATGCCGCAATTCTGTTTGGCAAAATTCAGCAGTTCAGGCAGCCAAAAGAATTCAGGCAGCCAAAAAGCAGGGAAATGGTGCCTTGCTTATTATATATATATCTACATTGAAAAAAAACTAAATTAGGAAGTATTTCTGGACAAATTTAAATTATTAAATATTATTAAAAATATATATTTTGTAAAAATTTTGATAATTTTTTATATATTAATATTTTTATATGACTTTTATATTTTAATCTTTTGAATTTTTTTTTGTAAAAGTTAATCCAATTATATTCTTGTCCTACAATATTAAATTGATGCCTTAGTTTTACAATTATTGATTGTAATATTTTTCTTTTTGCCATCTTGTATTAATGAAAAATGTGGAGCACAAAACATTTTAAGTTGAAAAGGGTATTTGTCCTAAAATGAAAGGAAAAGTTCAAACTACTCACACCTTCCACCTTCTTCCCTATCAACTTTTTCAAACTGTTTCTGTAGTAAACTACTCACTGCCAGATTTTCGAATGGTTTTGAAAATGTATTAACAAGTTTGTAGGGAGAGATGAGTGGCCAAAAGAATCTCAGCTACCAGATAATGAAGCCTCAAGTATTAACATGTATGTTTGAATGTCATTGGATGCTTAATTCTAGAATCACAGAGATTGCTCAGATCAGCATCAAGTAGATATTTTAGATTTCTGACCATTGCTGCTACGTTACTGTGGAGTGTGCCACCAGGTACTAATGCCATGTTTTCAGGAAGGATCCTATAG